AGGGGAAGTAGCACTCAATAAATATCAATAAACTGTGTAAGTTTTCTTTGTTTTGATATTTCAGGACATGATGAGTTATTTGAATTACCTAAATGGGAATCCATTTTCCTACTGAATATCTGCATTAAAATTCTAAATATGGTTTGAAAATTAATATGGAATGATAACTTCAGATACTGTGAAAAGTAATTACATTCCAATTCTTTGTAGTGATTTTATTTGCTCCAGTTCATTTTGTTAAATGGATTTCTACTCTGATTTACAATCATTTTATTACTTCATTCCAAATGATTATATTAACAAAAAAATCTCAGAATAAATGTGAGTAAAAAATACAGATTGCAGTATTATTATGATATCAATTTTAAGTTCAAAATATTAAATGGTGCAAATATCTTATGAAAGAAATGCAAAAGCATTACAAAGGTATTTATTTATCAAATTACCATTTTTCCAGTTCTACATTGGAGCTAACTTCAAGTATTTATTGATTCCCTTTATGTTCAACACATAGATTCTGTTTTATATGGTTAATATTTGCAAGTACTTTAAAATATAGATTAAAGAGAGAGAAAGATGTGTGCACAGAATGATTTTTCAGTGGATAGCAAAGTATGTAATTGTAAATTACAGATAATAAGTATCCATTAAGAAGTGCACCAGTGAAAGTTAGGGGTAAGGAATCTAGGAGTGTTTGATAGAGTGTGATGGATGCTGAGACTTGAAGGGAGATTAGTGTCTGAAATTGGTTAAGCCAAGTGAGGGAAAGCACAGAGAATAAAGTCTAAATAGAATTTGTGATGGAAGAGTAAGAAAACTAAACTGAATGAATGGTCAGATAAAAACTTGAGAAGGAACACTAAGCACAAAAAGCTGAATGTTTGATTGAGGAGTTCAAACATGCTCAGAATAGCAAAGCAGTTCCACTAGAGACAGGAATGGCGAGGAAATAGGGCAGCAGGTATGACTGGCAAATATTGTCAAAATGAGTAAAATAAGCCAGTATATATGCCAAACATATTTCATTAGAAAAGTTAACTTAGTGTAACTGGAAAGAATACACAGAAAGAATGCTGGTAAATTTACAATTTGGGGTATAGCTATTGTCAATACTGCAAATTATTATTTCCCCCATATGGAGATTTCTAAAAATAAAAAAAAAACATATCTTATGATCCAGCAATACTATTTTAGTTATCTACCTAAAGAAAGCAAAAATACCAATATAAAGGGATATATGCCCTCCTATCTTCATTGCAGCATTATTTACAATAGCCAAGCTATGGAAACAACCTAAGTGCCCAAAGACAGATGACTGGATTAGGAAGATGTTGTCTATATACACAATGGAATACTATTAAGTTATAAAACATATAAAGTATTGACTTCTGCTGCAATAGGAATGGAACTGGACAGAACTATACTAAGTAAATTAAGTCAGAAGAAGAAAGACAAATACTGGGTGGTGTCACTTATGTGTGGAATATAGAGAAACAAAACCAAGGGACACTTAACAACAAACCACAAAAAGCTGACTGTAGGTCTGAGTTTACCAGTGGGTTGGAGGGCAAGTGAGGAGGGGGCACAATAGACTATCACAGAGAGTTTGGTGGTGGATGTGGTGTGGTAACATACAACTAAAGGGTGTGATCCTATACCTCTAAATAATATACAATGTTGTAAACTAATTTTGCCACAATTAAAATTTCATTTTTTCTTAATCTTTCATAATAGTTTTAAGTGGCTACCTCCCCTCTCCTGATTCCAGTCCTCCAACAAGTCCTGACAGAAAGCCTCCCTATCTCTTCAGTAATTCCTTTATTCTCTGGAAGTTTTAAAATAAAAAATCAGTTTCCTAAGGTCTAGTTGTTAAATCAGGGTTGTGTAAGTACATAATCACACAAATGCCAGGAGTCAATTTGTTTTGCAACTGGTTCATTTCCCATGAAAGCTGACTATGTGCACCTCTTCCCCAATGTGCAGTGACAGCATGTTGGGAGCTTGAAATTGGTTATGATGAGAATATTCCATTAAAATTGGAAAATGCTATAAATCAAGGTTTTTTTTTTTTTTGGTTTAGTAGGGGAGGGAACAGTTTGTTAAACATTGATTAAGGCAACATTGTGTACAACTATGTATTTTTCTATACACTGCAAAAATATTTTAGTTACAGTTTTTAATAAAACAACTAGAAGTCTATAGGGTACTTATAAAATTTAAGGCTGATAGGCTAGAATGCATAAACATGAAAGTTCACAGTCCCTTTTTAATGCACATGTAACATCCACCAATTATAAAGTCTCACGTGTTACTTCACAAGAGATTTTAAAAATGTCTAGGCATTCCAATGGTCCTTTGCTATATGTGTGTGTATACATAAATATACATACATACATACATACATACACACATAGATCATACATACACATGCATAAATACATGCATATATAAAGAAAGGCAATCAAAGTTGAGTTCCATGACAACTTCTTGCCTCTAGAACAGACATTCTTCCAGGATCAACCATAAAATGTTAGGTAACAAGATATATTTTTAGCAAGAATTACTGTGACAGATGAACTTGCATAGTTGACAAATAATCTAGATTTTAGGACTTGAGAGGAGAACAAGTCTCGGGTATAACTCTGTGAATCATTTTTCAATAAACTGCTTCTTTTGAGAGTTCCAAGATTCATTTTCTCAACATGTGAGGACATTGTTTCTGACCACAGGGAATCATTAAAAAACAAAACAAAACAAAACAATAGCTTGAATGAAGGGACTTGAGTGTCCAGAATTCTAGGGATTTTCTTATCATAGATTTAGAATGATATCCACAAAGTTATTCTGGGCAGTAAAAACTCTTTCTGGTACTATGTATATCATTCATTCATTCACCTTCATTATTATTGTGTTCCCATTATATGATTGGCACTGTGGCTGTCAATTCTTTCCCTTTTTAAGATTACAGTCTAGTATTGAAACTGAAAATAAGCAGTTACAAATCAGTTCAAGTAAAGATGTTTCGGATAAGAGAAGGAATAATAAACTTTTAAAGAATTGGAAGAGGTTCAGTACAGCAGGAGATTTTGGTAGGGACAACATTATTGTAAAAACACATGCGAATGTTTAAAAAAGATTTAGACTTCTAAGAGAGATTGGAACTTACTCAAATACCTTCATTTATTTTTGTGTACATGATTAAAGAAGTAGTCAATTTTTATTTCAGAATGACCTATACTTTAAAAGGAAAATACTACATATTTTAACAATAAAATTAACCTTATTTTTTTGGAAATTATAATTTTGGAGCAATCCCAAACCAAATGGGAACTAAATCAATGCTCATTGACTGACAATAATATGATAAGAACTGGCTTAGTAAGAACACAAGAATATGATAAGAACTGGCTTAGTAAGAACACAGAAGTAGGCATTAATCAAGACAAAAGCAAACTATCACTTTGTCCAAGATTGCATCATTGCAGATAGTTAAGGGAGGTGGGAATTCATCCCATGCTTTGTTTCGCTGTTCCTCTCTTAACAGATATAAACATTTGGCAAGTTTTCGTGACATATTTGTTCTTACTAAATGAGTCAGTGTCCCCATCCTACCCTTCACACCTACAACAGAGTGGGAAAATATTGATACATAGCAGACTTAAAGTTACAGAGTAGTTATTCAGCATTTATCTGTGGTATTCCAATATCCAAAACCTAACATTGAACTGTTTGAATAGTCACTATTCTTTCTTCTATTTATTTAAGAAGTTCACTGGAGTGTTTTTAATATAATATCATATTTAAAATCTCTGCTGCCATTTTTACTTTCTCTTGATGGCTCAGACCACATTAATCTACCAAAAATAGAGATTGTTACTTAAATGGTGGTACTTTAAAAGGTATTTATCTTAAATTTTTATGTTGTATCCTTTAAAATTTTTCTACATTTTTTAAAGATTTATTTATTTATGCATATAAGAGCTGGGATACAGGCCAGAGATGTGGGGGGTGAGAGGATTCACCAGAGACACAGTTGGGAACAGAACAGGAAGCCTGACTGAAATACTGCTGAGGGGAGCAGCGGGCGAGACAGGAGAGGTCTCCTTCACCATGTGGTTTCTCCCTGGCTGGCCGGGGATCGAACTTGTGCTGTAGAAGACGTGGATTTCTTCATAGTGCGGTGCTTAACCGCTTGCACCACCGGGGAGGCCCTAAAATTTTTCTACATTAAAAAAAATAATGGCGATTGTGTTCTTGGTTGTACTACAATCCACAGTTATCTATTTTATTGTTATTTTTAAATACACTTAAAGTCAAAAGTAAAACTTTAAAGGGTTTCACCCACTCAGTGTATTTTATAGAAGGTAGTAAGTATGGTGCAGATAGCAATGATGAGGATGGTGATGAAATTAATGATGATCCTTGCAGTCATTTACTGCAGTGTCAACAATTTGGATTAATAGCAGTGTGAAAATCACCATAATTACTAATTTTTCCTTTGACATATAAATCATCAAATAGAGATATCTTTATCCTTACTTGCCAGTACATTCTATAGTCTTTGTAGGAAGCACTATAAATTGCAAAGAATTCAATCATTCTGGAATTGGGCAAATCCAAGTCAGAGTACTGGCTCTTATACTATCTGTGTTACTTGAACTAGTTCCTAAATCTCCACAGTTCTTATTTTTCTCTTCCATAAAATAAGAAAAGCAATAATAGTAGTTAAAGAGGTTATATGATACAGCACATTTAAGATGCTTAGCACATGGTACATAATATATATTTTCTCTAAATTTGGAGGAAACATTTATTTTAAATGTCTCTTACAAGACAAATATTATAAAGAATTAAACAATATACTTCCAATAGAAACGTTTTCTTTAATATCCATCTACTAAAATTGCTTCTTTTTCCCTAATATCTTAATCTCTAAAAGTACAGTTTAACATAAAGAAGAATGATTAGTTAACTATTTGTTGCAATATATAGTACCATACCTTGAAATTTTTCCATTCCTTTTTTTTCTCCTTTTGCAAAAATTCACTTTTAACATCCTCCTATATAAAACATAAGGATTCACTAAATGAGCCTATATTATTAGTAGTACTAGAAATATTAAAAATCATTTAGCATTTTGCATTATTATTCAAGTACAAATATTTTATAATCTAAACAAACCCTGAATATATGTAACTGTGGAGATGAGTAGCTTACTTGAGCAATGCATCAGATTTGAAGACAGTCAGATCTTCACAACACACAGGGTCTTGAAATATGGATATGGTTCTTTCTATTTGTATCTCATAATGAATGCTTGTCAAACATATAGATAATTAAATGTATATAAATAAACACACAAAGTCTTTCCAGATATACTTGTATCTTAAGAACATTTCCATTTTATAGGACAAGAAAAAAGCTATGAAAGTTAGAACTGACCCCATTTATTAAATAAAGATATGACCAACATAACCTCTATGTTCTCTGTAACACTTAGATTATCATTCTATTTCTTCTGTGTATATCATCCTTTCTATTATTATTTATAAATTCAAATTGTGAACATGAGTGAATATAGAGCCCTATATAAATTTAATTAATGTTTATATAATATGTATACAAAAATTTAAAATCAAACAAATACATATTAACAGTTTCCCACAGAAATTTTAGTTATCAAATGTAAAAAGATTATTTTTACCTTTTGGAAGGACAAAATTACATGTCGATTACATTCTACATATTTTATATTCACATGGCTACACATGTGAATATAAAAACAGATATCTTAAGCAGAAAAAAGTGCATCACTTAAATCAAACTGTTCCTATAAAGGCCTGTACTAGAACCTTAATGCCTGTGTATAAAAAAAAATTCAAATTATAGTAAATTTGGTTTTATACATTTCATATATAATAAGTATATTAAAGACATAATGTACAACAGCTTCTTTTTATTAAGAAATATGGTCTTTCTCATGAAATAGTAAGGTTCTATGTGTTCAACAATAGGAACAGTAACTTGTCATAGAATAAAATAATAAGCTAAATTAATGACTAAATCAGTCACATGTACTATTCTTTACACTAAACATATATGAACTCAAACTACAATAAACCTAATTCAAATTTTGGTAATTCTGAAGCCATATAAGTATAATCACTTTATTCATTACTTATATTTTTGCTCTAGCATTCAGAAAATATCAGTTTACAATGATTTCTGGACAATAAATGCTGTATAAAACAACTTTTTTTGAGATTTGTAATAGTTTGGCAATCTTTTTTGATTGCCAAAAAAAGATTGTATTATGTAATGACTCCCAGTATGAATTAGGATTAATTTTAGTGGCTGTGGCTTTGCTGACATTTGTATGATTTCTTCATACAAGGATAATCTGCTGGATAACTTCACTTTGGAGAATAACTAATGACCCCATTCTCTTTTTGGCATTCTAAATGAGACATCTCTCAATGAAAACAAAAACCAGATGTTCAACATTTGCCGATGTCCAGGGTGACACACTAAACACATACAGGGAGCAGAAACCCTAGATCCTCTCATATGCATAGAAATGCTGACAAGTAAGTAAGATTTCCTAGTAGTATCCTTTGATTTTTTTTAATGGTTGAATTTTGTTCATGTATTAGATAATAATATCTTCCCACATTCAAGTCTCTGCACTTTTATCCAAATTAGTTTTCTTTCAAAAATTATAGTAATAACCCATTAGATTTTAATCCACAGGTTTTTTCATACTATTTCTATGTAAAAGAATACAGTAAGACTACTCTAACATGCAAAAATAATTTATCTGCACTATCTAAACAAATACATAAATTAACCTTTTTTTTTTCCAAAAAGTTCAAGTGACTTATTCCATTATTCCTTTTTAGCCAACTCAACTATCATAGTCTTGGTGTATACTTTGCTAAAATATCTGACATTGTACCATAATACTTTCTCCCTACAAGAAGTTTTGTAAAGGCAATGAGTCACTTGCCTTCCTTATTATTCTATTTCCAAAGCCTATATTAGAGGAGATGGTAGGTGCTCAATAACATTTTTTTAATAAATGAAAGAGGAAAGAAATCAAGCCATTTGCTTGTCTCCTTTCCTTCATTTTGTCTTTTTAGGGGGGGAGGTCCATCCATATCCAGTCACACAGTATTTTCAATTAGATAAGCAAAGAACATCATTCAGCTGAATTAAGGTTTCACTCTAACCAATTCTTTTATTTATTTATTTATTTATTTATATTAAAGATTTATTTATTTATACAAGCACTGGGTACAGTCAGAAGTGTGGGAGGATGAGAGAATTCACCAGAGCCAGAGCGGAAAGCAGAACAGGCAGACTGACGAAGTACACTGCTGAGGGGAGCAGCAGGAGGCAGGAGAGGTCTGCACGCCATGTGGGACCCTCGCCCAGCAGCCGGGGTTCGAACTGGCACTGCAGAGGCTGTGGGCAGCTTCACAACCAATCGTTCAACCGCTGTTCCTCCGGGAAGGCCCTCTAACCAATTCTTTTATAAGTGATATTTTAGCAACAATATTTTTAATTGAAATATAAATTACATACATTCTTTTTTTTTTTAAAGGTCTTCAGGAGAAGAAATATGTGTTTTGGTTTTTTTTTTTTAAAGATTTATTTATGTGTTTATTTATTTATGTATTTTTTTATACAAGCACTGGGTACAGGCAGAAGTGCAGGAGCAGTCGGGGATCGAACCGGCACTGCAGAGGCTGCGGGCAGCTTCGCAACCCAGTGCTCAACTGCTGCGCCACTGGGGAGGCCCTACATACATTCTTATATTTTCTGTTTAATGAGTTTTGACAGTTCAAAACAAGATAAAGAAACTATTACCTAGAAAATCCCTGCATAATTGTTTTCAAACCCCTTTTCATAGAGGCAATCACTTTCTGTTGTAGGTACTGTAGACTATTTTTGACTGCTTTACTATGAAATAATACAATATGTTCTTTTTGTTTTCAGTTTTGCATTTAATTTCATAAGTGATGATGAACATTTTTTCATGTCTGTTGGCCATCTGCATTTCTTCTTGGATAAGTGCTTATTTAGTTCTTCTGCCCATTTTTTTATTGTTTTGTTTTGTTTTTTGTGGAATTGTATGAGCTCTTTGTAGATCTTTGACATCAACCCCTTATCAGATGTATTGTGTACAAATATTTTCTCCCATTCTGTAGGGTGTTTCTTCATTTTTTTTTTTTTGTTTTTGTTTTAAAGATTTATTTATTTATTTATACAAGCAATGGGTACAGTCTGAAGCACAGGAGGGTGAGAGAATTCACCAGAGCCAGAGCAGGGAACAGAACAGGCAGACTGATGAAATACACAGCTGAGGAGAGCAGCAGGCGCGGCAGGAGAGGTCCGAGCTCCATGTGGGACCCTCACCTCGCCGGCGTCTGGGGATCGAACCGGCGCTGCAGAGGCTGCGGGCAGATTCGCAGCCCAGCGCTAAACCACTGCCCCACCGGGGAGGCCCTCTCTTCATTTTTGTTGCTGTCTCTTTGACTGTACAGAGATTTTAGTTTGATGTAGTCTCCATTGTTTATATTCTCATTTGTTTTCCTTGCTGCTTCAGATGAGTCCTCAAAGATGTTTCTGAAGTTTCTGTCATGGGGTATTTTGCCTGTGTTTTCTTCTATAAGTTTTATGTTTTCTGGTCTTACATTCAAGTCTTTTATCCACTATCAACCACTGACAAGATAGCTTTTAACATAAATTATGAAATTTTATTAAACATAGAGGTAAATTTAAGAAATTACTAATAGTTCATCATTGATTTCTAGATGAATTAAAAAAAAGAACATAATGGAACATGAAAAACCATGTTAGCATATTTTATTTAGGCCATACCTCTTTTTATTTACATATATGTGACCACTGAATAATGTTTATTGATATGCCTGTATATGGATTTTCAATATAATTATTTTTTAACTTAGTGGTAGGAAGAAGAAATATTAAGGAACAAGCACAGTAGTTTTTAATTTCAGTTACCTGCTATATTCCATTCTTGAAAGATATGGGTCAAGACCTGGAAAAAGTCACTCTCTAATCAAGAGGTTTAAGTGTTCATTGCAGTACTATCTACAAGAGCCAACCTGTGGAAACAACTTAAGTGTTCAAGGATAGATAAATGGATTAGGGAGATGTGGTATACATACATAATGGAATATTCAGCTATTAAAAGAAAAGATGAGATCTTGGCATTTGGGACAATATGAATGGAAGTGGAAGAGATTATTCTAAGGAAAATAAGTCAGAAGAAGAAAGACAATGCCAGAAGTTTTCACTTATATGTGGAATATAAAGAAAGCAGCAGAACAGACTAAACCAAATCCAAAATCAATCCTTGAAATCTGACAGCAGAACTGAGGTTACTGGAAGTGGAGGGTGGGAGTGCCTAGCCAAGTGGGGAGGAAGTTCAGTGGACTGTGGTAGAGAATTACTGGGACTTTGGTGGTATGATAACATACTTTTGAAGACATGTGAACATATATTCCTAAAACATATAGTGTTGTAAACCAATACTACCTCAATAAACATCACTAAAATTAAATAAGTAAAAATTAAATGAAATTAAAAACATAATTTTTGAGAAAGTATTAAAGATAATGTAGAAAGATATTAAAGATAATGTAGAAAGTCCACAGTTTTAACACTACTTGCTTCACTCCTTAAGGTATTTTGTAACTGTAATCTAAAAATAGATTATGAAATACATTAAAGGAAAGGAATTTTCACATTTTTTAATTCCCTTGTTCTCCAGAATCTAGGACAAAGGTTTTCATAGTAATGTAGGAGTACTATGGAAGCTTGCTAAAGACTAAAGCTAAAATTTTTAGACAAAAATTGTTGTTTTTCAACCCAAATGCCCAAAAATAGATGACTGGATCAAGAAGATGTGGTACATATACACAATGGAATATTACTCAGCAATCAAAAAAGATAAACACATGCAGTTTGCAGCAACATGGATGGAGCTAGAAGGGATCATGCTCAGCAAAATAAACCAGAAAGAAAAAGAAAA